CGCCGTCCTTCAAAGAAAGCAGACAGAAGAGCACGGTGCTAGTCGAGCTTTGTTTCATCACGTCCTGTCTGGGCTTATTTATTTATTTAACCTGTACATCTTTCTGCTTAGAGGGGAACGAGGGAGTAATCTTCTAGAGCGTCACAGGTTACAAAGCCCAGGGGAGACACAGGGGAGCTAACAGTAGCTCTTGATAAACAGGGAACAGAATCGTTTAAAGCCAGTGCAGCAGCCAACTGGCCAGGAGCTCAGCCAGCAAACAATTCCAGCCAGTTTGATAGGAACGACCAGAAACTTCAGCCACAACCACCTCCTCCCACAGATCCCATCAACCCCTGTGAGAGGAGCAGCAAATCTCAAGACTTTTTATTTTTGTACTTCCTTCTATTATGTTCTTAGAGTTGTTTTATGCCATTAAAATATTTGTGCTTTTTCCTCTTCTTCCTTTCATCCCATTTTATTTTCATATTTTCTCTAATTTATAATCATTTATCTCTTGCTCCAGGCTCTCCCCATCACATGTTTTTTCTCTTCTTATATTTAACTTTGATTTTCCCCTCTTTTCCTCCTGATCACCTTCCTTTATCTCATCCATCTGTTATCACCTTATGTCAGGTGATTTTAACCTCATCTGTTTCCTCCATGGTTTTATGAAGTTTTTCCCTCTATGCATACTGGTGGTACAGTGTGGTAGGCATCCTTGATTTAATTAGAGTGATTTCTGCATCTGATTTCTGCTGCTGTGGTTTGTTTTCCCTCAGTACAACCTCAGATCCAGCCTCCCAGAGAAGGCTGCTTGCTTAGACGACCCCAAACAACTAAAAAGAGACACACATCTCAACAGATGCACAAACCACAGTGTAGAAACAAAAGAATCATGGCAAAGCAAGGCAACATGGCTCTTCCAAACATTCACAGCTCCTCACTAAATGAATCCAAAGATACAGAAATGATTGGAACACCAGACAGGGACTACTGGGCTGTGGTTACTTATAAGAGCAAATGGTTACATCACTGGAGTTCCCTAGTAACTCTGAAATAATTCATCTCTGTCCTAGCTGTGATTGAATGTGAATGAAGTGACATCAGGCTTGTGACTTCCTACCACACAGACAGACTCAACACGGATTTTCTGAATTCACCCTGAACGTTAGGGACTGCTAACACCACCATTAAGGCAGCCCTTGTCTTACCTGTGTAGTGGGGCACTGTAGCCTAAGAATCATGGAAGGGTTGGCACATCTGAACAGGTTAAAGTAAAGCAAAATGGTCTTGTTCCTGTTTAAAAAAGAAAAGTTTTGTCAGTGACGGTGGGACGGCTCCACAGCACACCAAAGCACAGACGCCTTTCAAGCATTGCCTTGAAACCAGCTTGGCGTTCTGGTTACGGTGTGGCATATTCTCAGACCACTTTTACAGCACCTAACAACCAGAGCACTGCTTTGTAATCAGTAAAAGTCGAAATACATTGTCTGCCAGAAAGAAACTGTTTATCATGAAGCAGAAGGTCACATTGTCGTTGGGAATCATGTTGGCACACATGTTCAACGGAAGGAGAAATTCATGATAGATTTATTTCAGAAAAAAGATCACTAAAATACAATTTGACTACGTGGGAATAAGTATTAAAGCACACGCAAAAAGAAATTACAATATCTTAATTTGGGGAATACAAAATTAAAAATCTTAATCTGATTTTTGCATTTATCCATTTCTTTAACGTAAGAATGTGTTACGTTGGTGATGTAAAAAAGCAATAGTTACACTTTGTATTGCAAACTGTACTAAGTGGCAGTGAACTCCCAATGGAATATTACGCTGTCATTTGAGATTCTCGTTGAATTTCAGTTATCCCATTAGGGAGATGAGGACCACAGCAGCTGCGGCCACTTCACGGTGACGAAGAAAGCACCTAAGAGGACAGGGGACTCAGCTTCAGCACAGAAAAGAAAAGTGTGGGTGTGGGATCCTGAGTGAGCCAAACCCAAGGCTGCTTTGTATTCTCTGCAGAGAGAGGGGAGTCTGAAGGAGA